TTGCGTGGGGAAAACACGGGCAGTTGCTCTGCCTTTGAAAAGGCACCTGCTTTGATTTTTTCAGATTATGATGGAATTTCCACTGGAATCTGGCATAGCTATTTTGTTTCTATTTTTCTACTCGAATGTCTTGTTTCTCTTGAATGTCCTCATAACATTTATACAGAGCAGTATTTACTGCCTGCTCCTGACTGTGGTGCTGCACTTGCATTAAACACCACAGGGATTGCTGCTCTGATCATGATGTGCACTTACCATTCCACAGGGACTGCAAGTTTTTCCATGGGAGGTAAGCAGACAGACATTTGGGATTCCTTCTCATCTGTCAGTGAACTTAGCAGTGCTCAGTGCTGAAATCCATCCTGTGCTTGGGCAGTTTGCAGCCCCCACTGTCACAGTGACCTTCGCTGTCCTCCCTGTTCAAATGTGGCAGTAGATAAAGGGTGTGACAGTTCTGAGAATCTGAGGAGAATGAAAAACCCTTCATTAATATTTCACTGGAGAGTGGTGATGTGAAATCACACAGTTACTGTCAGAAATTCTCTTATCAGTAGGGAAAATGGGATGGGCTGGATCCGGCCATTGGCAGACGTTTTCTTGTAGAAAAGGATTAGGTGACAATTTCAGTTTGAACAGACTTTGGGGATGTTTTAAAGACTTGTTTTCACTGAACAAGGAGCCAGGCCAAATTTGACCAGCTCTCAGATTTCCTGGTGCCCATTGTTGAAGGTTAGAGATAGTCAGGGAGCGACACCAAAGCACTGCCCAAAGATCTTTGTTGTGTTCTCATTGGAACTGAGGACTGAGGGGAAGCTGGGCATTGTCAAAGAAATGTGAACCTGGACACTGTCTCCTCCAAATAGGGAGGATGGCACAGAGGACACTGCCAGGGGCTCCAAGACCAGTGATATCTTCACTTAAAAGGCTTTTGGCTGGTCTTTCAGAGGCAGTGACACATGAGACACTAAAATAATAAGAGACTGATTCAGTTTAGGAACATTTTGCTACTGCATGTCGTCAAGTACTTGGTTGAGTGCAGGAGTGAATAATCCAAATTCTGTAATAAAAGTACTGATAAAACAAAATCATCACTCCTTTTTCTAGAAAATAAATCTCTTTTCTGTCCCTTAAGGCTTGTTTTCTGTCATTTATGAGAAAAGAAGGCCTATTTTGCCACCTAATGCAGCTTGCACCAAATAAGTTTTAATTTTCTCTAGGCTGTGATCCTAACAACTTCAGGAATTCCAGTAGAAAAGGCTTTTGCCAGGATACTGAAAAGGGGGCGGTCTAACTTAGGATCTGCAGAACAGGGTCTATCTTACCTGCTTTCCAGGCCCAAGGCATCTGGCAGCATCTGGGCATGTCATCCTGGGCAAAAACGGTTCCAGGTGACTAAAAATAATACCAGCACTCCACTCTCCAGAAAGTAGCCATCATCTTGGCCTTGGGGGTAAGTTTTCTAGGTTATCTCTCGGTTTAATAGTTGTGGGCGAAAGAAAGTGTCCTATTTGCATTCAATTTTGCACACATAGCAGTGAAGTTAAATTTAGTTTATCAAAAAAATACAGAAAACACTGTGTAAGCATCCAAATCAGGCTGGTTTGTGAAGCTCAGTAAATGTAAAGGAAGCAGCATTTTAGTCCAAGTGAGGAATTGCATCCTAATCACCCCTCAGCACATGAATATTTCATCAGTACATGCTCTGCAAAGCAAACACCCTGGGAGGGGTTGCTGCTCCACAGCTCCTGATCTCCTCAGCTTTTCCAGCACAGACTAGACTGTCACTGATGAACTCATAGCAATGTGAGCCATCCTTAATTTATGTGGGAAAGAGCTGGGTAAAATAAAGCAGCACTAAGACTAAGAACACAAGTTCTGAGTCCTCTAGTGGCAGCATTTGGGTTGAGAGCTTTCAGTCTTTCATCAGAACTCCTTTTCATCCCAACTCCTGGGGCTGAATTTCCCAGTCTGCCCATCCCACCTTCCTTGGAGCTGAGTGGGGGACAAGGTGCTGAGGAAGAAAGGCTGGGAAGGGCGAAGGAGGGCTGAGACAGCCCAGCCCTGGGCAGGCAGTGGAACGTGCCCACAGTGCCACACGTGGCTCCTGCATCCCTGATTCTGTCACTGTTGGAGACAGTCCTCACATACAATTGATTTTCTGCTGCTTCCACACGGGGTCAGAGCTGGGGCACTCAGAGCATGTGCCTTCCTTTTTCACTGCCTCCCTTCAGAAAGGGATAGCTCTTTCTTCCCAGCAGGTTGGGCTCTCCAGTTGCCCCTCTCTGTGCAGGGTCCCTCAGTGGTGTGGTGGCACAGCCTGCACAGCTTTGCAAGCTCTTCCCAAACCCCCCATTCCCTGGGCAGCACCCAAACCAGGAGGGATTCCAGAGTCAGAGCTGCTGCAGCCCAGCCCTAATGAGCACAGGAGGAAAATCATCATCTAGGTCTAATGGAATTAGTCCTGCTGTACATTGCTCCAATTGCTCCAAATGGGTCAGTGTAGGAGTATCTGCTTTTATTGGAAGCCACAAGTGATTTAATTCTCCTGAGGTGAATAACGAGATAGAAGAATCGGCTGTAATTTAACCATCTTGTATCTGAAAGTGATATCTGAGTCCCATAGACCAAAAATGGGCATTTCTTCAGACATCTTTTTTAAACTCTCTAGAAAAAAATTAAAACATTTTATTTCACATGCTATTGAGGAATACATTCCAAGACTTTAAAGGAATTTTATATAGAGATACATTTTAGCCTAGCACAGACCTTACATTACCTTCTGTAATGAACTATTTGCACAGCTGCTGTAATAACCACATCTCTCTTCAGTGACAAAAGGAAGCAAAGCTCCAAGTCAAAGCTTAGCTTAGTGCAAGGTAAGAAAGTAGAATGTGACTCATACACTAAATAGGATACAATTTTAATAACATACTTGTTGGCTGTATTTTATGGCTGGTGACTACTTGATTCTCTTCATAAGCATTTCTGAACTGTTACATGGAGTGTCTCAGAAATGCTGTCCCAGACTGTCAGCAGTGCTGACCCATCCTCTGGGGAGCTGTCCTTGTGCAGGGCTGTGTGAAAAGAGGCCACAGGGGAGACCTCCACCCCAGTGTGTTTTCTCTTGGGGATAATTCCTTAGCAGAAGAATTCACACCAGAGAAGGAAGGGAAGAGGCAGGAAGGGCCTCGTTGTGCAGGTTCCTGCCTGCCCCAGCCCCAGCAAGGAGAGCAGAGCAGTCCCTGCTGTCCCTGACTCTGCACCCTCAGGGCTGTGCCTCGGGGGCAGTGCTGTCCTTCCTCCTGGCTCCCTGACCTGGCCTGGCCCCCCCGCCCTCCAGGAGGCCCTGCACGGATTCTGGGGAACTTCGGGAGGGAGATTACCATGGAAAAATAGTGCTGCTGTAAATGGGGAAAGATTACAGTGTAAACTCATCCTGGAGATCAGAGAGTCTGACTGAGGTTTATTTGCCCCAGCCACAAGAGAAGTTTCAGAGCCCACATCTCACTGGACGTGCAGGTCACTGCCTGCACAGCTGTGGGGACAATCCTGCTGCTCTTTGGAGAGTTGCTTGGTTCTTACTGCAACTCAGTTTTCCCTTTAGTTTTGAGATGAAAATGCTCTTTCTGTACATTTTTCATTGGAATTTATCAGTTATATTAAACAAAGATAAATGAGAAGGGGATCTGCTTGAATTCATCACTCCAAGACCTTCTGTTGGTAACTGTTGTAACCAGAGGAAATAATATCTCACCATATTGTAAGTTATGGTAAAAACTGCCACAGAGCAGTAGCAAGGTGCAATTCAGATAATAAAATACACTGTGTGGGAAGATAAACTGAAGTGAGTAATACGTCACCTGCCTCAAATGGGCAAGGCAATAAATAAAAGTGACTTTCTTCCAAGAACACTGATGAACATTTAATTCCAGACGCAAACGGGAGGCACAGGATGGGCTGTTCCCACCAAAGTGTCCAAAAAGCTGCAGAGAGGCAGACAATTGAATAAGGCAAGGGCAGTGAGGTGTGTCAGGAGGAAGGTACTGAGGGAACTTGTAAGAAGATTTGTGGTTGCTCTCTGCCATCGGGGCTGTTGGACACCCAGGGTGTGTGTGATGGCTGAGGGTACAGGAGGACAATTTTCCAGCCTCTGATGCAGCTCCGGTTGGAATCACGTGAGGAATTGGAGTTTACAGATCCCAGGTGCCCAGGGCAGTGACCCCGGGCTCCCTGTACACAATCCCTGCCGGCAGTGGAAGGTGTCCCTGGCTCCGTGGGGATCGGTGATGCTGGAGCGGAGCGGCCCCTCCTGCAGCTCCGCAGGGGCTGTGCCCTCGCCCAGCTCGGAGCACCACCAGCAGCATTCCAGCCGGAGCTGCACGGCCCGGGAGCAGCCTCGGGATTTACGGGAATGACATCCTCGGCTGACATCAGCTCGCAGCATTTGCATTGGATTCCGGTGTGCTCGGAGGTGGGGCTTGGCGGGGACTCTGCTCCAGGCTCCGATCCAGCCGGAGGGAGCTGGGAACATCCTCACTCCCGGCTCTCCATCCTGCACCGGCTCCTCCCTCCTGCAGCTCAGGCAGCGCGGGGTGAGTCCAGCAGCCTCTCCTCCTACTATGAGTCTCCAGGAGCTACTACGGCGGGAACAGCCCTGGTGCTGTGCCCTCGGTCCAGCCCGGCTCGGGAGCAAGGCACGGTGTGGGTGTCGTCAGGAGGAACGGCTCGTGCTTACCTGGAGAGCCTTAATGAACCATCTTCCAGCACGGAGAGGATTTTGAAGAGTTGCATTTTTTCCAGCACCTTTGGTACTTCATTGTTGCCTGGTTTTTGTTCTGGTTATCAGGGGTGCTTTCAGCTGAGTATTTCTTCATCGGATGCCACAAAAGAGTGTCTAGGAAAACAAAGAAACTTGTGATGTGGAGCTGACAGTGCTGGTTTCAGCCAGTGAAAACTTGCCGAGTCAGTGAGAAGGCAAAGAAAAAGGAATGCCAAGGACAATGTCAGTGATGCCTGGTAATTTGTCACTCAATGGGACGAGCTTCTTCAGTGAAAATCCTGGCATCGAGGACAAACCCAGTGAGCAGAGGACTTGGAATGTCTTTCTGTTCTGCTTGACTCTTACCATTGCATTCCCAGCCCTTCTGAGCAGCATTTATTCACTAGTTTCCCTGCTGAAAATGCAGAACAAAACCACGGTGTCGATGATTGTGACCTCCTTGGCAGTAGATGATTTGATCAGCATCATACCACTGATTATTTTCATGCTCATGCAGTGGTCGAGTGAAGGCCTCCCCCAGCCTCTGTGCACCACCTCAGCACTTATGTATTTATTCCAGGGCATTTCTAGCAACCTGAAAGGGTCACTTTTAGTTTCTTACAACTTCTACACCATCAACACGGCTGAGACGCTGAGCTGCAGCACTTCCAAGCGTCGTGTGAGCGTGGCATGGGCCATCCTCATCACCTGGATTGTGGGTTTGCTGATCTGCATTCTGCCCCTCTGCGGTTGGGGCCGGTACATCCCCACCTCCTGGGGCTGCTTCACCGACTGTGCCAGTTCCTACATCCTGTTTGTGTTCCTTGTGTACTCCCTGTGTGTGTCCCTGCTGGCAGTGCTGGCTGTGCCCCTCACTCACCAGCTGCTGTGCTCGGCTGGGCCGCAGCTCTCACACACCGACTACCTGGAGGTCCCTGGAGGCTTCACCTCCCCCGGGACACCCGCGGCTGCCCCGGCGCTGTCCCTGCTGGACCCCGCGGATAAAGCCCTGCAGCACTGCCAGGACTCGGGGGCAGTTTTGGGGAAGGGCGTGGCCGGGAGTGGTGCCCTCATGAGCAGCTCACAGAGCAGGAGCTCCACGGTGGGCTTTGCCCAGAAACGGTTCTCGCTGATCCTTGCGCTGACCAAAGTTGTTCTCTGGCTCCCAATGATGGTAAATTGTCAGCTCACTGTCCAGTGTTCACTCACATTTCAGTGGGATGTGACCCGAGGGCCAGGGATTGAAACAGATGAGCAGTGGCCATGGCAGTTGTTCTTACAGTATAGCTGTGCCAGCAAAAGTCCTTTCCAGCAGGTCTGTGCCACTGCGTGAGTTTAACTGGTGTCCAGTGGGTTTGACAGAACTTTGTTCACAGGTCTGATACTCTGTTGTCACATCATTCACCAATAAAGGGGGGAGTAAGGTCCCAGTTTGGTGTTCCCAGCTCTGTGATGAGGCATCTGCTCAGCATTTTGGAGTCTGGGAATTGTGCCAAGCTAGTGGCCCTCCTCACAGCTCTAGGGCCCCTCCTTTGACAGGTGGGTTAAAAAGCAGGAGTTTGTTAAGAAAATGTGGTTTGTTTCTATCTTTGTAACCCCTGTAGTACTGGGGGTGGGGGGAGTGCTGTCCATGGATGTGCATTTGGGAACAGTGCAGTAGAAAGGGCCCTGCTGAGAGCAGGGGACACGGGTCTGGGCAGTGTTAGCCCTGCCCTGGGCCGTGCATGGGCTCAGCACCTGAGCTGGGGGTCCTCAGTGCCACAGGAGGGGCTGAGCCAGCAGTCCCTGCTGAGCTGCTTGGGTTGGGAGCTGTTTAATAATGCTCAGCATCTATATTTAGCTTCAGCAAGGGTTTTTCTGAGAACTGCAGAGCGAGGGGAAGGGCAGTGAGGGTGTTTGCTCTGCTCTCTTTGGAACCAGAATCGTTGTGCTCAGCAAACACTAATGACAACCTGTGTTTTACAGCTGTGTCGTGTTCATGGCGAGATGTTCTCTTTATTCCTGGAAGTGCCTGACGTGATTCTCATGTGCCTGAAGCGATACAAATTTCCAAATGCTCTGCCTTGCAGGTACAGATGGTTGTCCAGTACATCACTGGTGTGCAGAGCCTTGTGTTTGAGGCCCTGAGCTTCCTGCTGAGCGTGCTGGCTGCCACGGCCACCCCGCTGTTCGTCCTGTCAGAGCACTGGCTGCACCTGCCCTGTGGCTGCATCGTCACCTGCAGGAGGGAGCCCTGGGCAGGGCCTTCAGGAGATCTCACAAGTAAGTGTGGAAGGGTTGCCTGGGTGTAACAGAGGATGCCACACCTTTCCTGGTAACCTCCTTGGAACCTTCTAGAGCTCTGTTTTTCTCTGGGTCTTATGTAAAAACAGCTGGACAAATGGAATGGGTCGGTTGGAGGGGACCTACAGAACTCAACTGCATGAGTTAAGGGCTAAGGATTTCTGAGGATGTGGGAGTTGTTTCCCATTCTCTGAAGTGAAAGTCCTCTAACATCAGTGGGTGAATTCCTGATATCTGCTTCATGTTTAGGGAGAAAGAGCTCCTGACTCCTAGAGAGAAGCCATCCCCTGTGCATGGCTTTCACTTGCTTTAAACACACTCTCCAGGTGCAGAAAGGCTTGTGCTGCCACTGGTGCCCTTTTAGCCACTTCCCTGGATAGAATGCAGTTCATCCACAAGGCAGTTTCTTCTTAGAAGTCTTTCTTCTCAACAGTTCATTCTGTTTATGGACAGAAAATTGGCTGTTTGTAGCAGTGGTTGGATAATTTATTCCACGTTCAGCGTGTTGTTTTCACTGTGTGTGTAATCTCATTTTTCTTCTCAGTCTTGACTCTTAATATGATGTTTCCTCCCTTCCTGCTTAGCCAAACGCAGGGGTTTTGAGTTCAACCTGTCCTTCCAGCAAGGTTATGGAATCTACAGAATACCCCAGGAGAACCACCCCCACCACAGCAGTGATGGTAAATCCACGTCCTGCCACAGCCTGGTGGGCTCTGACTGCGAGGCCCCGGAGCCTGGCAGAGGGAGTGGTGGTGGGCCTGGGCCCAGCCCCCCGTCTGCAGGGGCCTGCAGGGGCGAGCAGGGCACACACTGTGACCCACCAGCCATCCCTGAAGGACCAGAGTGGAGGTTGTCCCACGAGGAAAGCCATAAACCTGAGCTCACGGATTGGGAATGGTGCAGGAGCAAATCCGAGAGGACCCCTCGGCAGGTAAAACTGGGATTTACCCCATTCTTTTCTGATAATAAGAGTTACTTTATAAAATAGGAATGATTTTTACTTACATTGATCTTTCTATTAGTCCTATTGGCAGTATAGTTCCTTTTAGTAAAACTCTTACTTAGCATTGTGTGATGTTTAGTAACCACAGACCTGTTTGCAGATGCTGATCTTGCAACAATTTCTCACTTTTATTCTTAATCTTGGAGTTTTCTAATTACTATTTTGTGTGCACCAGCATGATTTGTATATGGTAAGAGTTCAGTATGACTGATGCTGGTTCATCTTAGTGAATAGGAAGTTTCTCTCCAAAAGATGACATTTTCAGGGGTATTTCCAAGCAGTTGGTGACTCTTTTTGGGTGGGGGAAAGGCAGAATCAAACCTGAATGTGCACTGTGGCACTCAGTGGACATTTGGCATTACAGTAGGTGGGAGTGGGGTAAGAGCCTGTGTGAAGTCCACAAGACAGGAGCTGTAGAAGGCTTTAGGTTGGAAAGGACCTCTGGAAGTCACCTAATCCAACCTCCTGCTCCAAGCAGGGTGACTCCGAGCTTGATCAAGTTGCTCTTGACTTTTGCACATACATAGGTGAGGTGTGTTTTCCATCCCAGTAAGGGAATCCCTCTCCACCTGCTGAACACAAGTGTATGATCCGAGTCAGAGCAGGAATGTGTCTGCTATTTCAAATTGGACTGACCATCCCTTTCATCAAAAGCTGGGGTTCACTCTGTTGCAGTGAGCAGAGATGAACTTCTGCCTTTGGGGGCAAAAGAGGGGATGACTCAGCCTGGTTTTAATCTACCAGTTCTTGCTGAGGCCTCGTGTGCCATGTACAGTCTGGTTAATAAAGTCACTATATCAATAGGTTCATAACTGTGGCTCCTCGCAGGAATTTCCAGATGGTGTTTAAAACAAATAGTAATAATTTCCTTTCCCATTTCCTGTGGCTGCCAGTTCAGGTTGCAGCCCTGTGACTCCCCTGGCAGCAGGTATGAGCAGCTCTTGGTGCAGCACTTGGCAGTCACTGCCTGGGGATGCTTTCTGTGCCCTGGAGCTCTGTGTGTCCCTTTTGGACATACCCTTCCCTACTTGCATTACAGGGAATCACCTTTCATCCTTTTCTGACCTTTCCCAAGGAATAACCCTGTGTGCAGTTCCCAGGCATTGGGGCTCCTGTGGAGTGAAAGTTCCAGGCTTTGGAGTCACAGCTCTCCCAGGTTCTGACATTCAGCAGGAGCTGCCAGAGCTTCACAGCTGACATTTGCCTTGCTGCTGGGAAAGGGCAGGGTGTGAAACCCAGCAAGCTTGGTAAAAAAAGCTTTATTGCATTGCTCAGGTGCATGGTGAATAAAAGATCAATTTGTGCCACACATTGAATCAGTTGTAAACCATCCTGGTATTCATCCTGTTTGATGTCCTGAAGTGTCTGAGAAAAGTCACTTTGTTCTCATCACTGCATTTCTCACGTGTGTTAAAAGTGGAGTCTGTCCCTGGCATTGAGTGGCCATGTCCTTCTGCAGGAGGTACAGGGGTTCTTAGAGGGTACCCAGAGACAGGTGTCATTACCAGAGTGCCTCCAGCTTCCTTTTCACTAGGACAGCCTGTAAGAACTGCCAGGAGGAGGAGGAACGTGGCTGCCCAGCTCAGCTCCTGGGTGATGTGGTAGATGGGTCCTCCCGTGCCCAATTCCCAGCCAGCTGGGAGGGGTGGCCTGTCCAGCTGCCCTGCACGGCTCCCCTGCCTCGGCTGCTCCAGGGAAACCAGGGCTGGGAAGTCTCCTTGTGTTGGGAAAGCAGTATTTTGTATTCTGTTGTTTTCAGACCGTAATTAAGCAGGGGGGAAGGTGCCAGTGAGTTTGGTTGGGCTGTTTGAAGAGCAGGGTGCCAGGCAGTACGTGGGATGCTTTGGTTTCCTGCTGAAGCCATGGAGGGTGGCCCTTCCTTGGGATGATAATACTCATGTCACAGCTAGTTGTCTCCTCATTGTCTGTTCTGTGAGTAAAGAGTTACTTCATCCAAGTGATTTCTCTGGAACAGAAGTGGCACGAGGGAGAATGAGGCAGCAGGGTTTATTTAATACCTGTGGAGAGTGGCTGTAATTGAGAGGGAGAGAGAAAATGGTACTTGTCATTTCTAACTCTGCTCGGCTGCGTTTTTGAAAAAATACCTTTAACATCTCATAAAATACCTGTGTATCTCCCTTCCTAAGGAGATGGAGTATAAATATGTCATGTCTTTTTTGCCTGCACTTAAGTGCCTTCAGGCAACACAAATCTCCAGGCTGGCAGTGTATTCCAGGCTTGCTGGTGATGTTTTTTCTCTCTCACTCAGTACCTCATCTGAGGGTTGCCTCAGGCAAACTCTTTGAAGAGACTCTGTACAGAACCTCTTTCTGTGCCCTGCAGGGAAAGAGGGGGAGGCTGTGTAAGTGACTTCTGTGAGGAGGAGAAGTTTGTTTGACATGATAAATACTCAGGATGTCCCTCACTCCAGGAAAATTGTGAACATTGCAGCAAACATCAGGCACAGCACAGAAGCTCAGTCAGGAATGGCCTTGCAGGTTCTCTTTGGTCCATCTGTACCAGCAGCTGATGCTCTGCCCTGCTGTTCCCATTGGGGCTCTTCCTGAACGTGGTGCTTGGAACCTGGTTCCTGCTTTCCAAGGAGGCTCCTGTGGCTGGAAAATCAATGTAACAGTTCACCATCATCTCCTGGCTTTGCTCCCCATGGGACAGAGGGGGGTGTGCTCCATGTGAAGTGAGAGAACAGACCATGCCTCAAACAAAGTCGATATCCCGCTGTCCAAGGGGCCCTTGTGCCTTGTCCCTAATGCCACTTAATGGCCTGGATGACTGGGACACCTGCCCATAAACCATTACAGTCCAGGCTGATATGGGCTTGTTTTTTAAAGGCTTGTACTGTTCTTCAGCACAGTTTTCTGCATTGTATTTTCCTGGTAAGCAAACCCACCACTTGGTTTAAGCTGACATGACAGCTCGTGGTATGATGCTGGCAGAGGCACCCAGAACCTTTTTGCAGGACTGGCAGTACCTGTCACATGAACTTCATGCAGTGTGATGAAAAGGGTGAGGCCCAGTTCCATAGGGGTTACAGGAGAGAGGAGTGTCAGCAGATCCTCTCCTGTCCCAGCAGTGACCGAGGGAGCTGGGCCAGATGTGCCAAGCTCTGATTTCTGTACCCACCACAGGCAGAGGACTCCCATGAAGCCCAGGAAGGAGGAGAGCCCTGGACTTACCTGAGCAGCCTCAAATCCAGATCCCTCTGAGCTGTGTCCAAGCTGCACCCACAGGGGTTCACTAAGGGTGCCAGGGGAATTGTTTGTGGAATATTGCAGGGCTTTCTGTTGACCTCAGTCACTTCAGCCCCAGACAGCTGAGTACAGAAGCTCTGGCCTGGAGATGCAGGTGACCTTACCTGGATGCTCTGTTGCACTTTCTGTTCCTGATCCATATAAATAAAGGTCTGTCTGCACTGGGCAGGCCAATGGCAGATGCTGGGCTCAGGTCACCTGAGGTGAGCTTGTCTGTTCCTGTCATAGCCTGTTGGCTCTGCATTTACTGCAGTCAGCCTCTGAAGAGGCAAATCATTGCAGTAATTAATTTCACTGCAGCCAATTTTAATTTTTAGGGAAGTGGAAGACTAAGCTTCTATTTTAAAACAAACAGAAAATTCATTGTCTCTGGAAAGAGACGTTGGGATCCTTACTGGAAACATTCTAAAAATAGATCTTTTCAACTCAAGCTGTTTCACCAAAGTAATCAGGAATGCAGACTCCTTGGAGCTGACTTCAGCTTGCTGGATTTTGTGTTTGGGGAGGCAGAATGGCCCGGTGGGGGTGACATGGGACACAGCAACCCCTGTCAGCTCTGGGGCTGCCACTGTGCCCTCAGTCCCTCTGGGACCTCACACCAGGGCTCTGCTGCCTCTGCCAGAGCCACAGACTCCAGTGTCACCTGTGCTTGGCTCTGACACTGATGTCACACCTGTCTCCTTATTCCAGGGCCTGTGATTTGTGAGGAAGTTAAGGGATGGTGAGGGAAGGTCTGCAGAGCACCTTGTGCTTGAGTCCCTCACCAGGCACAGGTAGAACCAGCTGTGGTGCCTCAGGATGTCCCACTTGGCCTCCAGCTGCTGCTCCAGGAGGCTGTAGGTCTCCCATCAGTCTCCTGTTATATGTAAAGGTGTTCTGAGGACATCCTGAATCCTCTAGGGCATCTCTGATGGCACCACACAACCCTGTCTGGGCAGCAGTTTAGGGTCTGAGCTCAGTCGGGGGGGCAGTTCCTGCCCGGGTGCACTGGAGTGGCCTCCAAACAATTTTTCTTCTCCCCCCCATCAGGTAGGCATTCTAGGCTGTAGGCATTTCCTTTCTTACCCCAGTTAAGCTTTTTCTGCATTGACTTTCACTGTTTCAACAGCAGTTTATTATCTTTAAAATCAAACTGAGCTGGGAGCCACGGGAGCCACCACTCAGGGCGTGTGGCTTTGAACAGTTTATTTCTGATTTCAGTTGTTACCAAGCATTGCCCAGCTAAGGATCCACCTGAAACAGAGTCAGCTTTGCTCTCAGGAGATGGAGGATTGATCGATCACCATGTCTGGAGAATAGAGTGTTCATGCTTTTCTTTCCCTGCTCTGCAGTCATTTGCTCCCTGAAATAAAAAAATTCCAGGAAATCCCAGGAACTGTGTGCTTATCCAGCCTGGATGATGGTCTTTGTAGGTGCTAAGTGCTGGAGAAATTGGACCACTGAGTTTAAGGTCCTTAGAACAGGGATGAATCCAGTTACACTTAATATAACATGAAAAGTGTGTAAAAATGTTTGATATTAGAAATATTAATGTCAACCTTAAAGGATGGCCAGGCTTCCTCCAGCAGAATAAACTCTTCATCACTTGTAAACTAGAGTTTGAAATGGTTCTGAACATCACCTGTGAACGCACCACAAGCAGAATTCAAAGTTGACTGCAGTCACATTCCTTTTCCAGTAAGCCCCCAGCTCTGCAGGTTACTGATGGGCTCCTGCAGCCCCAAAGGGAAGCAGAGGGAATGCCACACACCCTTGGGAGGCACTTCCCAGCAGGGAGAGTCAGGCTCTGCTTTGGCAAGTGAGGAAATTAAGATTTTCATGTGTATTTGGCAGCTTAATATCCTTTATTAATATTTGATGTAATTATAAGTGTTTCATGGCAAACCAGGCAGAAAAGGGTGGGGCTCTTTGGTTTCTGCCGGTTTGCAAGGAGAAACACAAGAACAGATTCTGCAAAAATTACCTTCCCCTTTCTCTCCCCTTTCCTTCCCCTTCCCTCCCCCTTCAGGAAAACCATAGGGATCAAGAACTTTTTTTCTATGCAGGAAAGGCCACAGAGTTTCTGGATTCTGTTTCTAGGATGATTTAAAAACTAAGTCAGATGGCTCTTGGTGGGCCCTCCCTCACTGCTTTGAGCATTTCCAAAAGGAAACCTTTCTGCCAGGGGCATTCCCAGCTGCTGTGGGGCTTGGATAGGTCAGGAGCCTCCCCCATGGACAGTGTCCTCCCCTATGGACAGTATCCTCCCCTGTAGACAATATCCTTCCCCATGGACAATACTGTCCTTGGTGAATCCAGGCTGAGCTCTGCTCAGGCAGCTGGAATGGGGCAGGGGAGCCCAGTCCTGACCCACAGTGATGATGAGGAAGGTTTTGGCTCGTGGCAGCTGCAGCTGCCTCCTGTCTTCTGTGAAATCTGGCAGGTGGATAATGTAATTAAATAATGAAAGGATCTGTTTATCAATTATGCAGAGATTTCTCTGCTCAGAATGCAGCAGCACTCCGTAAGGAACAGGGACATTTGTGATTTATTTCGTTGGGATTTTTTGTCCTTGCTTGTTAGGAATGCATGTGCTGGTACATGGAGTTCTCCAGTGAAATCCCTGTCCCAGCTTCTGACAGAACATTCTCTGGGCAGGGGCTGCACAGGGGGATGTCCTGGGATGGGACAGGATGGACACAAATCTCCACAAATGGGGAAACTTGGCAAGGGAAGGACCAGGAGGGAAAGGAAGCAGCACAGCCTTGGAGATCCTTCAGCATTCCCAAGGGATGAATATATGTATATTGTTATTATATATGATGTGTATTAGGCAACATTTAGACTGGCAGCTTGGTATGTCTGCACTGCAGAGCTGCACAGCCCAGCCCTGCAGAGGCACAGCTCCCAGGCAGTGCTGGGCTGCAGCTCAGGGGGTCCTGGCTCGTGTTTTGGGGTGTTCAGTTCAAGTTGGCCTCAACAGAAAGACAGTGATTTTGGCTTCCAGAATGGTCTGTGTGCCGAATGCTGTGATTTTGTTAGTTGAAACATCTGAGCATTTCCAAATGGAAACCTTTCAATGCTGCCAGAAATCAAGAAATTAATTGTTAAAAGGTAAATACTGTATAGAATCCCAGAATGGTTTGGGTTGGAAGGGACCTTAAAGTCCATCCAGTCCCACCCCCTGCCATGGGCAGGGACACCTCCCACTAGCCCAGGTTGCTCCAAGCCCCATCCAACCTGGCCTCGGACACTTCCAGGGATGGGGCAGCCACAGCCTCTCTCATATGTGTGTGTGTGTATGTATATATATATATGTATATATATATATATATACATATATATATATACACACATACACATGCATGTGTACAATGAATAAATAAATACTTGTAGGTATCTGTGTATGTGGATGTGCAGGGGAAAAGTATCTGTAAGTGGAGGAAGAACCAGAACAGAGTGAATTTTCAATCTGCTGTGTTGAAGCAGAGAAGTGTCTGATCCTTCCTTCACCTCTCCTGGCCGAGAGTGAGTGAGGTCTCTGGAAGAAAAGTCTTCCCTTCCCAGGATCAGAACAAGGCTCCCTTGGCCCGTGGAGTTGCCATGGATACCACCCTGGTGTGGGATGGATGATGCCCTCCAGCCTGGGGTGTCCTTGTGCTGTGCTACCAGTCCTGCTGGAACTGAGGGAGAAAACGAGCTTAATGCTGGAGTTGGAGGGAAAGTTGTTCATTTTATTTAGGATTACTGGTGATGATCTCTGTGTGTCTGATCTGTTGCAAAACTGCTGAGACACAAAAGCTGCAGAATGGCACTTTGGTTGAAAAGACAGGGTTTGTTTTATTTCACAAAGCTCTTTACCTTTGTGCCTGGTTCCTGCTTGCAGTGTCCAGGCCCCAGAGCCAGAGCACGGTGTTGTTTGGCACAGTTTGCAGGGACAGGTGAATTCTCTGCTTTAGAAACAGGTGAAGGTGTGTGGAATTGAGCAGTGTTTCTACTGGAATTGTTCTAGTGGAAAATGATGGAGTTCACTGCCTCCCTGGTCAGTAACTGCACAGTGATGTGGAGGACTTGATGCATCTTTTTCACTTCTAACAGTAAATACTGATTTCTCAAGAGAAAACAGACTTTTGGAAAGAGCCACTAAATCATTGGGAAATGTCTTATTCTCCAGAGCCGGCGTGTTCATCGCAGTGTGTCAGGATTGCTCATTCTCCCTGCAGGTGCCTCAGACATCCCCTCCATCTTCCTGCTGTTCAGCCTGACAAATCCACAGTGGTTTATTAAGCAGGACCTTGCACCGAAGGAGTCAGCTTTTATTTCATATTCTGTAGATGTCCTATTGAGTCACAGCCACTTGGGACTTCACTTTTTATACTAGGGTGTGTAACTTCTTTCTGCTCTTTCAAGTCATAAGTACCAGGTATCTAAAATTCTGCAAGGAAAAGGCAGTAAAATAAATTAACAAACTGAGCATAATTGGCTTATTTATAATGCATTCTGACTTGAAACCCTGGCCTCAGGTGACGGTCCCTGTTTGTGTTGCAGCGCTCGGGCGGGGCCCTGGCCATCCCTCTGTGTGCCTTCCAAGGGACTGTGTCTCTGCAGGCTCCCACCGGGAAGACCCTCTCGTTATCCACGTACGAGGTGAGCTCTGACGGGCACAAAATCACCCCCATGGCCAAGAAAATCGAGGTGTTTCGGTCCAAGAGCGTCGGGCACGAGCCCAGCCCGGAGGGGTCCCCTCACACGAACGTTAAGATTCATCTGGAGGTGCTGGAGATCTGTGACAATGAGGAGGCCCTGGACACCGTGTCCATCATCAGCAACATCAGCCAGTCCTCCACCCAGGCCAGGTCCCCCTCCCTGCGCTACTCACGGAGGGAGAACAGGTTTGTGTCCTGCGAGCTGGGGGAAAGCGCCTCCTACTCCCTGTTCATCCCGTCCCACAGCCCCGGCAGGGACATCAGCATCTCCATCCCCGACACCGTGGAGGGCCATCGCAGCAGCAGCAGGCAGCACGTGGGCACGGGGCACCAGGAGGAGATCCAGCTGCTCAACAAGGCCTACAGGGAGCGGGAGGGCCAGGGCAGCAGCGGCTGAGGGGGTTCTGTGCTCTGCAGCTGCTCTGCCACTGCTCCTCTGGGCTCAAGGTGCCCACACAAATGCAGGGTCAGCTGGTTTTTCCTAACATGAATTTTATTTGGGTGCACTGTTAAATCCATTCAAACTGTTAATGCTCTGTCAAGGGGATAACAAACGCTCAAGTGCTTTACGGCTTTGCATAGTGAATTTCAAGTTATTTATTTATATACTATTTATTTGAGGAACATACATGTCTAGAGGGAATCCTAAATAAAGTCTTACAGTCCAGCTTTGGTGTTTGTTGGCACTGGGTGCTGTGTCTGTGGGACCCTGAGGAAATGAGGGAGCAGCTCCACAGCTGGGAAGTTACAGTAGTGTTGACTCACTTGCAGTTCTTTTCAGCATCTAAATCAAAAAAATCCCCAAAATATTTGAATTTATATTTCCTTTAGAATGTGTGTTTTTCACGGTGTTAAAGGAGATGATGGAAATGCAGGAGGTTCGTGCATGGAGATGGAAATTGCTCTGGAAGCAAAATCCCACTGGTTTCAAACATGAGCACTGCTTGGGTGTCCAGATACACTGTCATGGATTGTTACGGGAGCAAACAGGAGCAAACTGTCAAAATCACCCAAGTGACTCAGCACCAGGCACGTCTCTGTCCTGGACATCTAAATAACAGAACCAGAGGTAACCACTGCCCCAGTTTAGAGGCACCTCCAGGCTAAAGGGGGTCGGGGAGACCAATTTGTCTATGTGTGGGTGCATAAGCCACTTTGTGAGGGGAAAAGAGAAAAGAAAATAGAAATTTCTAACTTGAGCACCTGCTTCTTCTCCCTTCATATGGCCAAGTGCTGGAGTGTTGGACTGACTGTCATCAGCTGTGGGCAGACAAAAAAGAGAGAATGGTTTCCTTTGGAAGAAGCAATCCTTCAACTGAATATTGAAAGTCAGTATGTGATACTGTGTGTCAGAGATCTAAATGCTGGAAATCCTGAAATGGGAGTAAATCACACCAACAAGGGAGAAAAGGCAAGAGAATACGTAAAGAAATTAAGTTGAAGAAGCATTTACAGCTGCACAGTGGTGTTCAGGAAAACAAAATGTTAATTCACTGTTGTAAGAGTAATACTGATGTGAATAATTCTCCCTAATTTAAAAGGTTGAATGTCCCCCTCCGAAGAACCTGGGCACGGTGTATCCCATACACGAGTGATCAGCCCACAGACCCACAGCAGGGGCTATTTAAAGATATGTATTGTCTTTTATAAAAGAAACTATGGGAACAGGACAGGCACGAACCCTCTATGTGACGATGGAGACCAATAGTTAGTGTAGCCTTAAAATCTCCTTGCAGTTTGAAAGCCTACAAAGATCAAACATCAAAGAACATCCTTTTTTTAAAAAAAATGTTTACATACTCCCTTTTGCCGGGCGGGGACTCGAACCGGTGTCCCCGCGGGTCCGGGACTCGAACCCGCGGCCCTGCGGCGGCCGGAAGTGCGGCGCGGCCGGGGCGGGCGGTGCCGGCGGATGAGGCGGGGCCGGGCCGCGCGGGGCTCTGCGGGCCGGCCGGCTCCATCGGCTCTCTCGGCCCTGTGGGCTCCCTCGGCCCTGCCGCCCCTCCGAGCTGGGCTGTGCCGGGCCGGGCCGCCGCGGCCATGAGCTACGAGCACCGCCGGGACTGGGGCCGCGGGCGCGGCGGCGATGGCGGCTCGGGCTCCGGCGGCCCCTCGGCGGGCGGGCCCGGCGGGCGCGGCGGGCGCGGGCGCCACCCGAGCCACCTGAAGGGCCGCGAGATCGGGCTGTGGTACGCGCGGAAACAGGGCCAGAAGAGCCGCGACACCGACCGGCAGCAGGTGAGGGACACGGGACAGCGGGGACGCGGCGCGCCCCTCGTGAGCCTTGGCGGGCGGCACCGGGCTGTGTGTGTGTCCCTGTGCTTGGAGCCGCCCCGGGGAACCCTCACACTCGTGACCGTGCCGGGGA